AATATATAATATTTTATATAAATTAAAATGAATGTTATATAATACGAAGCAGTTCATTAAAATCAATATTTATATTTAACATGTGTTTAATAAATATGTTAAATATATATTTATATTTAACAATATAATTTCATAGTATAAATGAAAATTATCTCTTAATTATTTTTAAAAATGTTTACTTCTTATTGAAATTTTTTATACAGGTTTTTAATCACCAGTAAACTTTTTGTTTACTTTAAAATATAATATCTTTAACTTTTTCATAATTTTTTAGTTTTATTAAAAAATACGTGCTATACATTCTTAATATATTTTGTAACATCAAATTTTCATACATTTTCCAAAGAAAGAAAGAATAAACATACTCAAATTCAATCAATGATGATAGAGTAGATATAATCCAGTATCTTCTCATAATATTTACTAATAACACAAAATTGCTTAAAAATTAAAATTACTTCGCACTCTTTGTTAGTCTAATTAACAACCAGGAACTTTAAACAAATCTATCATAATTTGCAATTTTAAAAGTTTATACCTTTGTTTGTGTAATTATACATTTATTATTAAAAAAATAAATTACTTTTTAGGTCAAATAGACCCAAACGGATCAACAGAATTAAATAACAATTCTAAAAGACAAGTTCAAAAATTATGCAAATTATTCAAGAAAACTTAAAAAAATTGGATTCAATAACATTAATAATTCATATATCTCGATATATTTCCCAAATCCTCCGTTACATGTTGGTCCGTGATATCGATTTCCACATCTACCACGATATTTACGTCGATACACTCTCATAAAAATCGGACGATGCACTTCGCTTAGTTACGCTTGGGCGAGACGGTTTCCTTCGGGCGCGTCATAAACCGCGTAAATCCACAATCTACGAGGCCGCGAGTCATCCAAGTTTTGATTTATAGTCGCACGGGACGCGTTTCGCGTGCGGATAGACACGGGGTTAGATAGCGCACACGCGTGCACGCGCTCTCGCTCTTGGGAAAAATGCGATTCCGTGCGCCACAGGCGCTTCCTCGCAATAACCTCCGAAGGGAAATTCACGATAATAGAGACTATCCACGTGCATTTCGCATGCAAGTGTCCTCGCGATCCCACGACGTCTGCCTCCGGGCTCCATGCCTTCGCAGATCCTCGTCCTCTTCCATGCCATTCGTTCCATTTCATCCGGCCTGTGTTCGCATATATTTTTCAATTTCTACTAATGTCTCCATAATTTCCATTACTTTTACTTTGTTATCTTATTATTTTCTTCTATGTTCGGGATTGAGAAGTAACAATAATGTTATTATATTCTTATAATAACAAATTCAGCTGTTACTTTTATTTATAATTCCTTATTTTATATATAATTGGCTGGAAATAAATTTTATAAAAACATCGAAAAACATTTCGTACTTCATTTTCTAAGCTGCATTCCGATAATCACTGTTAATACTGAAAACTTATAGTTTACATTACATATATGTAAATGAATTATAAATTGTCAGTATTTACAATAAATATTATAAATATTGGAATGTACTCTTAATAATGACATTGACTAAAAATGTTTAACAAAATTTGTAATAAAATCCGCGTTACAATTTAATTTTTTAAAAATAAGCATATATTAAAAATAAAAATAATAATATAAAAAATTATTGAAGATTTATTAGATTTAAGTTTAAAAAAAATTTGCTATGCAGAGACCAACTTAGAACTTTAAATTTTAACATTGATTTCACAATTAATATTGATTCTTATATAATGTTTAAATTAAAAATTTTTTAATCTAAGCTTGCATATTTTGCATATTATCATTACAAAAAAGGTAACGGATAAAATAATGAATCATTATTTTCCAAGTAACGATAATGATAATGACTTACCTTTTACAAAACGTAACGATAATGTGCGCGCGCGCGCGCGTGCGTGCGTGTGTGTGTGTGTGTGTGTGTGTGTGTGTGTGTGTGTGTGTGTGATAATGCGTTACTTTTAAAATAACGTTGCCGATCCTGGGTGTACTTACTTAGACGCTTATCATCCACAAAAAAAAATCGATAAGACTTTTCGGTAGGGAAACAAATGATTAAAAAGTACATGTGTAAATCTATAGTCAATTAAAAAATGTGTTAAAAGTGTACAGTATAAAAGGAGAGATGGAGCAAATAATTTTGTCCTTTTTTTGTATATAATACTTCTTTGACTTCATCGATTGTTTAAAACTATTTACTTTCATTTTCATTCTCCACTCCTTCTCATGTATCTCTCTCTCTCTCTCTCTCTCTCTCTCTCTCTCTCTCTCTCTCTTCTCTCTCACATTTATTATTCATTCAATCTTAAAGAGGAAAAAGTAAAACAAAATAAGATGTGCAGCGAAGCTTGAATGGAAAGAGGAAAATAACAAAGAGAAAGCAAAGAGAGAGAGAGAGAGAGTTTCGCTTATATCTACTTCTTTCTTCCGCAAATTTCCTTCTTTCTCTCAAACTCCACTTCCTCTTCGTCACCGTTCTTCTATCTATGAACCGCAATTTCTCTCCTTCCGCCATTCCTCGTACCTCATCCCTCGGATATTCCCGCTTTTCGTCTCGCGCAGGAGTACATACATGCGCCCGAGCAAGCCCAAACGGTCTTCCGTCTTTTCCATCCCCTTCGCAATCCTCCTCTCTCCCGACCCATCTCGTCCTTCCGCTCCTTTTCATCCCTGCCGTGGCGACCGAGGGGCTGAGCTAGACAAATAGCTCCAGCGTGAAATACCGCCGCCTCTTTAAAACTTTAAAGTGTTTCAAGTAATCCTAAGGCACGACTTTACATCATGCTTGTACCCCGCGGAGGATACACGCAAGCGTAGAAGGAAATAGAATATCGGCGCACCCCGATGGGGTTTCGGCTACACACGTAGCACATCCGGCGACAGCAAGATTTCCCGGAAGATCCCAAGGCACATAAGTATACTGTTATTATATCATTATGTTTCACGAAGTGTATCTAATATACTTTTATACATTTTTCTATTATACCATGTTATTTTAGTTCTTTAACCCGTTTTGTCTCTTCTATTTTAAACATATATTTTTATGACATATACAATCAGTAATTAGAAATATATATAAATATATGTATATAAATATACTTATATATTATAGTAAAATTACTTATCGGATATTGCTAGTTTATTTTCTCGTTATAATCCACATGAATAGTAAAAGACTGAAACTAACCTTCCTCAACGAGTAAGCTGACAGTGGCTGATCGACCCTCCGTCGGCCTGCATGAATAGTTTCCAACATCATCTTGAGTCACCGACGCCAAAGTCAACACGGATACTGTACGTGCCGCACCCTTTTCGGTTTCTACATTTATCCCTCCGCGCGCTGCCTGGATGAAGAGTAAACAAATGTGAGTTCAATGATGAAGTAAGTACAGAAAATTTTTTAAATACTTCTTTGAAAGATATAGAAACAAAAGCTTTTCATTTTTTTATTTCTTATCTTCCAAAATTTATAATAAAATCGAAAGAATGGGGACATGGGATGTGTTACTAATTTGTCTTTTCTATTTCGCCGAATTGCATATAAAAATTTGTACTTATTCATGTTATAAAATTTTATGTAGTTTATAAATAAATTTGAAAAAATTTAAGTTTTTGTTTCTACATCTCTCACATATTAAATTTCATGTTCGAACTGAGATTTCATTATCTAAATGTGTATTTTATGTACACTAAAAGCGAAACCTAATGTTTTTTGAATCAATCGAAACAATGCAAACTAACAATCATTTACAATATAGAGAGTTATTTCATAAATATGAAATAATAAAATGATATAGTATGCTAAATTGACAATGCATAAAGTCACAAGTCGCACATGCAAAAAAATAATAGCATCTAACATATTCACATCTAAATAATGTTATAATATTAATTTTATAATGCTCATTTAAGAGTATAGTTATATCGAAAAATAAATTTATTGCTTTTAACAAATAAATCGTCAATTATAATCGTAAGACATTATTCCGAAAATAAGCTTTAATATATATTACAATTTTTAAATATTTTAAAACGCAAAGAACAATTTATGTTATAATACAATAAATAATGTAAAGAATAATATCGCTAAAGAAGGCTGACGAGTCTCAGATGGATGTTTCAAAGAACGCGAATATTGACAAATATAATCGCGAGCAGTGCATCTTGTACCAGCAAAACCGCGTCGACCGCCAACAGCTTTCAATCATTACATATAGCACGAAAGAAACAGCCGACGCAGGCTATCACGCAAACAAAAATGTTGAAAGACACGGTTAGGGACACCATATGATCCACATCCCTTCGCGTCGAGTGTGATGATATACGAGCGCCCCTTTTTTTCTCCCGTCCTTCTCGATTCTCGGTCGTCAAACAGAAATTTCATTAGAGCGACCCCGCGTATCCAGCTGAGGCTGCATTACCTGGAATGTTAGGAGTTTGTTATCCCGAAGCCATTGTACACCCCTGATGGGACGGGTCTGATACGGCGACAATATGACGCACCTCAGGGTGATCGTCGAGCCCGATGGCACCCTTTGCTCCCGAGGACCCATTATGTCTGCCACCGGCGCTGTACTCTCGTAGCCTGGAAGTCATGTTCGGACAAATATCATGCGGTGGCTGAAGCAATTGAATGACCGCGTCGTGACAAGATTACGCGTATATCCGATGGTTGAGGGGGAATAACCAAGATGCGCCACGTCGCGACGGTGAATTTCTCGATTGAATCTGCAGATTCGGATAGGATCTTAATTTGAAATGGAAATGCACTCGAAATTTCTTAACCGATGCATTGATTTAAAAACAGCAAGGTTTATCGTACTTTACTTTATAAAACTAAAGTTTTATTTATTTTTAGATATGCTTGTTTATTTGCTTATTTCATAAATATATTAAATTGATATAATATTAATTATTTTTGCATGTAAAATTATGTTCGTGATTCGCGAGATAGACGAATACTGATACTTTTATTTATCAAAAATAATTTCTGGTTGTTGATTATTGTTGGCAATAATTATTAAAACATGTATTTATTAGCAGACAAGCAACTCTAAATTGATTAATAAATCATTGTTATGGAAGCCAATATATTTGTGGTATTTCTACATATTTAAATTAAACATGAAAAGTAATATAACATAAATATTGAATGCCATGTATCCGTCCGACTAAACTATTTCGGACATTATTTACGTTTGTTTTATGTAAAAAAAAAATTTTAATGGAAGAAAACATTTTTTTAAGCGCGTACATTGCTTTAATACGTAAAGAGATTTTTCCTCTGGCGAGCAATAAATGTCGAAATAGCGAACAAAGAACGATATGCACAAGAAATTTTGCAATTTTTTTAATTGACAACTTTACAACGAGCATGATGTATTGTGAATACTCTAATTGATGCAATCTATTCTCGGATTTTAATACGATTTAATAATCTCAACGAACGAGGATTAACGCATTAGACCTTCTCCCCATGGAAAGAAACACTTTGCGATGCCGAGGGTGAGTTTTGCGCGCGCTATCAAGAATACTCGACAAATGTTACGTAATGATTTTAATTAATGCCAACGTTACATATCTATTTTCATTGCGCTAGTGCTCTGCTGACGCGGCACAAAGTACAGAATGCTGAGGTAGTAAAAAAACGTATAATAACGCGCTCACATGTAGATATATCGTCAAGCTTGTACATTTTAATTTAGAAAGCAGGGACAAGTATTCATTTAATGCGCTCGCGCATTAAACGAATACTTGTCCCTGCAGCACTGCAAGCATCAGCCTTTACAAAGTGTATCGTAAATTACTTCGACTTAAAAACTCTTCGGTTCTCCATTATATATACGATAAATTGCAAACGGGCTTCCCATTATGAATTTTGCTATGTAATGAAATCCCATTTTCCTTTTGTAAAGGATCGCATCTACGCACGGTTGCCTTTCATCTTTACATATCTGAGAATATCACGCTAACTTCCTTTAAAATTATGTACAGAAATAATATATATATACACATATATATATATA